AGCACTGTTCTCAACCTAGAGTCCTTTTCACTTTATGCATTCACCTGAGTAATCTGCCTCTGCAAACCTGGCACTGTTACCTCTACATCTGCTGCTGAGAGATCTTTCTAAAGCATAAATCTCATCTTCTTCCACAGTCTAAAAGTCTTTGTTTTTCCTACAGTTTTCAGTATTAAATTAAATTCTGTCTCTTTAGCATGCAGATAATCTGTGGTCTAGTTTCTGCTATTGTCTGGTTTCCTCCCCTCTTGCTTATCTGTGTATTCCCCCCAGTGAAAACAGCTGCACCTAGTAGTTTTGAACCCTTTGCACTACATTAAGTCCTCTGAATCTACATATGTGGGTTTCCCTATGCCTAGGGTAGTCTTCCCTTTCTCTTGGTCTACTTCTCATTGAGTTTCCAGAACTAGGTACATACATCACTTATTTTAGGAAGGCTTCCCTGATCTGATTTAGATGTTCTTTCCCCAAATGGACAAAGAACACAAAATGGGACTTCATAAAAGAGCAGCACGACATTTCTGCTAAGTAAATAAAAAGATGTTTAGTCTCACCAATAATAAAGAAAATGCAAATTAAAACATTGCACTTCCATTTTTTCATCTATCAAATTAGCAAAGATTTAAAAACAGCATTATTTAGAAAGCATGGGGAAATAAAGTGACTCCTACAATGATATTGGATGTATGAATTTGTGGGTTTTGGAGAAGGGAAAGTGACCCTGTGTATCTAAGAACCTTTTAAAAATGTATGTATATGTACACACCCATCCCTTTTGGCACTGTGCTCTCCATGGACTATATCCTAAGAAAATAACTGAACTATAATAAAAAGTGTGCTATAAGAATGTGTGTGATTTTATAACTTTCATTTGATCAACCAATGGTTAATTCTCATCTACACTGTAGATTTTTCAAAGTGGTGACAGATATTTAGGTAACCAGCATATATAGCTTGTTTGGTGAATATTCGTCGTCTTTAGTTTTATGGATTACCACACATGGATACAACATGGGCCTTTTCTTATTCTTTTGCCCCAGACGCCTTTGTTGAACCTGGTATCACTGCACACATCTGGACTGCCCATTTCCTTCATTGCAAATTTTCTCATCTCTTAGTGCTGGAGGGTCATACTTCTTGAAGCCCACTCCATAGATACACTTGTGAATGTTGGTGGTGTATTCTCTGTCACTACCTCCTTGATGACTGAATGACCCTTTTTTTCTTGTAACCTTCTTTACAGATGAAGGCAGGTGGAAGAAGTGTGTGTGTGTCATTGTTGATTTAAAAAAATAAACAGGGCCTCCCCTGGTGGCGCAGCAGTTGAGCACTGGGCTGCAAGGCTGCCCGCAGCATCTGCAGCGCCAGTTCGTTCCCGGGCCTCCAGCGAGGGTCCCACAAAAAAAAATAAATAAAAATAAACAGTAAATAACCTTAATGTTCAGTAATAGCAGATGGCTAAATGAATTCTTTTATATCCTATTTGATAGGATGTTATTTATCATTAAAATCACCTAGATCTTTTTTGACATGGAATATATTCTTGAGATACTGCTAGTTTGAAATAAGTTGTTTTATTTTTATGTATGGTCCAATTTTTATTTTAAAATGTATATTTATAGGAAAAAGAAAAACATAGGATGGTTTCACTTATAGAAGGAATATAGGGAAGCCAAATAAAACATCAGAGAAAAAAATAACAATAATATAAAGCACACAAAAAAAACCCCACAAAAACAGACAATTATAAACCAGAGACATCCTGCAGGAGAGGAGGAGGGAGAAAGACCAGAGGGAGGGAGGAGCACAGGAGACTGTGGTGATGGTGCACAGGTGCATTGGTGAAGGAAATTCTATGGGGACTACACCTTGGGGGGGCGGGGAGCAAACATGGATGGAGCTAGAAGGGATCATGCTCAGCGAAATAAGTCAGAAAGAAAAAGAAAAATACCGGATGGTCTCACTTATAGCAGGAATTTAGAAAACCTAAATAAGGGACCAGGAAAAACACTAATTAATACAAAGTAAAAATCAAAATCAACAAGCAACTATAAACCAGAGACACACTAAGTGGGGGGGCTGGGGAGAGGAAGGATTAGGGTCAAAATAAGCGGGGGTGCAATTGTATGGGGAATATAACCAAAATGAAAATGCATACATTGTGCAAAAATGAAAAATGATGTAAGAATTATATAAAATAAAATATTAAAAAATATAATTAAAAGAGCTAACAGGAAAAAAATGAACAATGATGTAAAAAATATATAAAAATTTTTTAAAACAACAGAAGACTTTAGAAAGAGTCTGTATCCAAAAAGTGTACATTTACAAATTTTCAAATGTCAGGATGTATATACACAGGAATGTTAACAGTGGTTATTTCTGATGGTGATATAGGTAACTAAAATGTTTTTTACTTACAAATATTTTTCTTTTCTGAAAGAACGTGAATTAATTGTGAGTACAAAATGGGGAGAAACAGAAACTCTGCCCTAGTCCTCTTGATACCAATAGTGCCTACCTCTGACATTGCCTTCATTAAAAACTAAGTGCACTGAGGACCCTCATGATGAATTAGCTAGTATGATTCTCTCAGATCCTAGCTCAGAGTAGAAAATGTTTGATGAGAGAATAATGTCAATAATAGCTAACAGTTATTGAGCACTTCCTGTATATTGGCATTGTTCCAAGTATTTGACATGTATTAACCCTCATGAGGTGGGTACTATTGTTATCTCCATCTTATAGGTGAAATGGGCTGACAAAGTTGGCTAGGTTATATAAGGAAACGTGCTGTAAGTGGCAGGGCTGGAATTCAAGCCCAGGAAGCTTGATTCTCACTTAGAGATAATAGAATATCCTTGTTGTTCTGAATTAGATTGCATGTCTGAGTGAATATAGTTGGATTAGATTCCTTGGGTAGAATTTCAGCTGGACAGTTCAACCTCATGGGCTGAATAAAAAGGCAGAATTTGATACCTACAGATCTGAACCAAATACCAGGGAAGTAATCTTAATTTCTCTGGTATTTTTTAAAAATTCAAATCATTTTAGACTAGATATTTCTCATTGAAATGGTGCCTCCTCATGGGTTTGACCTTGTTATATGCTCCCCTTCTCCATTATTCACCTCCCTTCAAAACTTAAACACCTAGATTTGTAATTACTTTGTTAATGCTTCTTCCCACCTATTTTCTTTCTCAGAAAGATTATTTATAACATCTATCAAATTTCATTTTTAAAACTTGCCAGTCTTCATTTTTACCATATGTCCCTTTTTTAAAAAAAATTATTATTATTTATTTATTTATTTTTACAAGCACTGGGTACAGTCAGAAGAGCGGGAGGGTGAGAGAATTCACCAGAGCCAGAGCGGGGAGCAGAGCAGGCAGAAGGACCGAAGTACACTGCTGAGGGGAGCAGCGGGCAGCAGGAGAGGTCTGCGCACCATGTGGGACCCTCCCCCGGTGGCCGGGGAGCAGCCGGGGATCGAACCGGCGCCGCAGAGGCTGCAGGCAGCTTCGCAACCCAGCGCTCAACCGCTGCACCACCGGGGAGGCCCCTTATGTCCCTTTTTTCCTTGCATTTTCTTTTAAAGTCTCCGAATTTCTAAAAGCTGCATTTTTATTATCTACAATTATACTTTTTAATATGGTGACCATAAGCCACATGTGACTTTTTAACTTAAAGTTAGAATGGGCGAAAGATTTAAAAAGCAGTTCTCCAAAGAAGATATGGGATTGGTTACTAAACATGGGAAATGATGTTCAACATCATTAGTCATTTAAATGTAACTTTAAGCCACAATGAGATAACGTGACATACCTATTAAATGGCTAAAATAGAAAATACAATCCCAGATGCTCATGAGGATGTGGAATCAGCCAAAAACAAAGTGATATGGGCAATCTCATAAAACAGTTTGGCAGTTTCGTATAAAAATATGCTTAACATACAATCTGATGATCACACTCATGGGCATTGACCTAGAGAAATGAAAACTAAGTTCACACAAAAACCTGTGGCTAATATTCACAGCAGCTTTATTTGTAACAGCCAAAAATTGGAAACAACATAAGTATCCTTAAGTGGGTGAATAGGTAAACAAACTGTGATATTCCATTCAGTGGAATACAACTCATCGATAAAATAGGGATGAACTGTTAATTCATGTAGTAAAGTGGATGACTCTCAAAATTGTTGCATAGAGAAGCCAATCTAAAAAGTTTACATACTATATGCTTCCATACAAAAAACATTCTTGAAGTTACAAAATTATAATGAGGGAGAACAGGTCAGTGGTCACAGGGGCTAGGACTGGGGCAAATGTGTGACTACAGAAGGTAGTATATGGGCTTTTTTTGAGATAGTTCTGTATCTTGATAATGGTGGTAGTTCCTTTAGAAGGAAGGAGTGAATAAGTGCTTAAAAAATTGGTAAAATCCAAGCAAGACCTATAGTTCAATTCATAATGCCTATGTCAATTTCCTGGTTTTGATAGTTATTAGCAAAGGACATGAATAAACAATCAAGGAGATATACAACAGTAAGCAAACTAGTTTTCTAGGATTAAAAACAGCAATACAATCTTTACCCATTATGAAATGGGCAAGGTTTTTATCATTAAAACAGGTGTGACCCTACATTTCTGAATCACAACATTGTTGTGAACCAATGTTACCTTAATTTTAAAAAATTAAAATTAAAAGTGATATTGGGACACTTAAGAAAAAAGTGTTATTGATGACATTGTGAAATGTCATCTGATACTCTTCTTCATTGCTATCAGCTCCTTCTATCATTGCCTTATTGCATGATCCCTAATAGAGTGGTAGTGCACATTCTGTCCTTCTGCAATTTATATTGTCTTCACCTTTAAAATATAGATGGCATCTAAACATATCCACACTGCCTATCCTGGTCCAGACCCTCCAGCCTTCTTACCTAATTTATTGTAATAACCCCCTAACTTATTTCCCTGTTTTCTTATTCCTCTACAGTCTCCTTTGAACACAGAAGCCAAATTTACCAATTTAAAATGTAAGTCTGACCATGTCATTACTCTACTCAGTAACCACCTGTTGGTTCTCAGTTCACTCAGAATTAAAGCCAAATTCATCATGGTAGTCTGTAGACCCTGCATGATTTAGATTCCCACCTTTCCTTTTTTGCTTCATCTCCCACACTGCCTGCCTTGCTGTCTTTGTTCCTGTGACTCTAGCATCTTTATCATACAGTAGATCCAGCATGCACTTAGAGTTACTCTATATGAGATGATTTAGCCTAATACCTCCACAAGCTTATTCCCATTTTTCTTTCAGGTCTCTGCTCACATGTCAGTGAGGTCTTCCCTGACTGCCCTTTATAACACAGCACCCTCTCATCCTTTCTCAATCCTTCTGCACTGCTATTTTTTTTTAACATATCACCATCTAAGTTATATTTTTACTTACATGTTGTTCTTGTTTTTCCAACTAGATTGTCAGCTCCAGTAAGGACAGGGACTTTATTTTATTCACACTTATATACCTGGTGCTTAGCAAGTGCCTCTTACATAGTAAGTACTCAATATTTTTTGAATGAATATATTGATTGAACCTTTTTGGAAAGCAACTACATTTTGGTTTTAAAGCCTTTTTTTTTTAGAGCATGAGAATGATTAAGTAAATGCTATCCTAGTGATGGTAAGAGAGATACCTGTTTGTGACAGGATCTGAGAGGATGAAATCAAGAGCAATAAAGGTTATTGTTCTCTTAGATAGTAAGAAAAAAGTAGAAGAATTTCCAAATATAGAGGAAGTTGTGGAATCAAGAACAAAAACTGTGTATTGGCAGTCTTTGAAAAGATTAGTTTGATGGAAGCAAAAGGTTGGTTCAAGGCAGTGTTAGAAAATAAGGTTAAAGGTAGATGGAGACATAGTGAAAGTCTTAAAAATGAATCAAAGGAGGTAGAACTCCCACAGTGTATGTTGGATTCTTGAACTGAGGAAAATGAAAAAGCTGTCTAAATCAAAGCTTGTTAGTGTCATATTTAGAGACAAGGAAAATGTAAGGTATAAGAAATACCAACTGAGGTCACTGCTTCCTGTTTTTCAGGAGACAGGACTGGAAGGCCTTGAGTTGATAATAACAACAGGTAATGAAATTGATGAAGACCATATCCAGTAGAAAATTTTTTTTTTTACTGTAGCTTTGTTTTTTTACTTTTTAAATTTTTTTTTAATGATCATTGTTCATTTTTAAACAATATTTGCTTCCCCCCACCCCCTCAGGTGTAGTCCCCATAGAGTTTCCTTCACCAGTGCACCCATGTACCATCACCTCAGTCCCCTGTGCTCCTCCCTCCCTCCCTCTGATCCCTCTCCCTCCTCCTCTCCTGCAGGATGTCTCTGATTTATAATTGTCTGTTTTTGCTTTGTTGTGTTTTGTACTGTTATTTTTTTTTTATACTGATGTCTTATTTGGTTCCCCTGTATCCTGCTATAAGTGAAACCATCCGATACTTTTCTCTTTCCTTCTGACTTATTTCACTGAGCATAATTCCTTCTAGTTCTATCCACGTTGCTGCAAATGGCATGAGTTTATATTTTTTGATTTGCTGAATAATATTCCACTGTGTGTATATGTCACATCTTCTTGACCCAGTCATCTATTTTGGGGGCATTTGGGCTGTTTCCAGGTTTTACCTATTGTAAATAGTGCTGCAATAAACATAGGTGTACAGGTACACAGCAAAAGAGACATTAACCAAAACAGAGAGACACTCCACTGATTGGGAAAAAATCCTTGCACTCCAGTCAACTGATAAGGGACTGGTCACAAAGATATACAAAGAACTCACACGACTCAACAAAAACAAAATAAACAATCCAGTCAAGAAATGGGCAGAAACTTAAAAGACATTTCTCCAAGGAGGAAATGCAAATGGCCAACAGGCATTTGAAAAAATGTTCAGCATCCCTTATAATCAGGGAAATACAAATTCAAACCACACTGAGATAGTAGCACCTTACACCAGTAAGAATGGCACATATCAAAAAAACAAGCAACTATAAATGTTGACGAGGATGCAGTGAAAAAGGAACTCTCCTACATTGCTGGTGGGAATGCAAACTGGTCCAGCCACTATGGAAAGCTGTCTGGAGGTTCCTCAGTCTACTAAATAAGGAGCTACCTTACGACCAGGCAATTCCACTCCTAGGGATCTACCCAAAGGACACAAAAACACTGGTTTAATAGAAATTCTTTTTTTTTTAAGATTTATTTTTATTTATTTATGCATACAAGAACTGGGGTATAGGCCAGAGATGTATGTGGTGGGGGCGAGGGGGTGGGACGGTGAATGGTTTCACCAGAGACAGAGTGGGGAGCAGAACAGGCAGATCTACTGAAACACACTGCTGAGGGGAGCACTGGGCATGACAGGAGAGATCTGCTGTGCCATGCGGGTCAGCTCCCTAGCCGGGGATCAAACTCAGGCTGCAGTGGCTGGCGATAGCTTGATAGTACTGAGAGTTTAACTCCAGTGCCACCCGGGAGGCCTCCAGTAGAAATTCTTGAGTATCAATATTGGTGCTCTGGATGAGATGCTGAAGAGCATGATGTCTGTTTCTGGATATGAGTTGTTGCAGAAGTGGATTTTGTTTCTGCTTACACATTGAATTCAGTGTTTTTAACTTTTATTTGTTTACTGAGAGAATGAAACCTAAGGAACATCCAGTAAAACAGAAATTGGAAAGAATCAGTATCAGTATATATGAATAGAGTTCAAGGAGATAATAAACAAGAAAAAGCCTGGCAATCTAAATAGAGGTACAGCTCTAAGATTTGTAGAGGACATCCTCTGGGAATCAAACCCTAAAAATGCATCAAAACTTGCTTATAGGGCCTCCCCGGTGGCGCAGCGGTTGAGCTCTGGGTGGCAAAGCTGCCCGCAGCCTCTGCAGCGCCAGTTCAATCCCCGGCTGCTCCCCGGCCACCGGAGGAGGGTCCCACATGGCGCACAGACCTCTCCTGCCGCCCGCTGCTCCCCTCAGCAGTGTACTTCAGTCCTTCTGCCTGTTCTGCTCCCTGCTCTGGCTCTGGTGAATTCTCTCACCCTCCCGCGCTTCTGACTGTACCCAGTGCTTGTATAAATAATAAATAAGTAAATCTTAAAAAAAAAAAAAAAAACTTGCTTGTAAAAGAAAAAGTAAACATTAACCTTTGGGGTTTTTTTTTTTGTTTTTTTTTAAAGATTTATTTTATTTATTTATACAAGCACTGGGTACAGTCAGAGGCACGGGAGGGTGGGAGAATTCACCAGAGCCAGAGCAGGGAGCAGAGCAGGCAGAAGGACTGAAGTACACTGCTGAGGGGAGCAGTGGGCGGCAGGAGAGGTCTGCGCGCCATGTGGGACCCTCCTCCGGTGGCCGGGGAGCAGCCGGGGATCGAACCGGCGCTGCAGAGGCTGCGGGCAGCTTCGCAACCCAGCTCTCAACCGCTGCGCCACCGGGGAGGCCCCCTTTGGTTTTCATTTATAGTATTCAAAAAGACATTTATTTTTGTTTTCCACAAAAATAGATGATGATTATCATAGCAACAAAACATTAAATGTTTTCCTTATTGAATCCATATATAAAATTTACATTTTAAATTTGTAATTCTAAATGCCATTTTTCTATGAAAGAGTGGTTTGTCTTTATTGATTTTCCTATAGAAAGCTGAGGTTTTTAATATTGTGGTATATTTTATATTTATAGTTTAAAATCTGTCTTGAAAAGACTTTGTTTCCTTACATAGGTCCGTCTTTTAAATACCATTTTATAAGCAAATATAAAACTTTAAGTTATTTTTTGGTAAACATTTGTCTATTTTATTTTTTTTTTTTTTTTTTATTTATTTATTTATTTATTATATTTGTTTGTCTTGTTTATACATGCACTGGGTACAGTCAGAAGCGCGGGAGGGTGAGAGAATTCACCAGAGCCAGAGCGGGGAGCAGAGCAGGCAGAAGGGCTGAAGTACACTGCTGAGGGGAGCAGCGGGCGGCAGGAGAGGTCTGCGCACCATGTGGGATCCTCCTCCGGTGGCCGGGGAGCAGCCGGGGATCGAACCGGCGTCGCAGAGGCCGCGGGCAGCTTCGCAACCCAGCGCTCAACCGCTGCGCCACCGGGGAGGCCCAACATTTGTCTATTTTAAATGAATGATGACTTTATGAAGTTTGCAATCTGACAACAAATTATAAAGATGTTTTCACAGTGTAGTATTAAGACTGACATAACTTATTTTTTTTTTTTTTGTTTTTTGTTTTTTTAAGACTGACATATCTTAAATGCCATTTTCTTCTGTCACTGTTTTGTGTTTTCATGATATGGAGGAATTATTGCTTTTATTGTTATTTCAAGTGTGTGAAATTAAGACTTTAATTCTTAGTACTTTGCTTCTGTTTTAAGTAAAATATGCTCTTAGTAACCTTAGCTGAGAAATGAGGTTATAAACTGATGGCTGAATTTTGGCATAATAGCTATACCCTATCAATAAAATATTTTGTTTAAAAAAAAACTGGGGAACAGTTGTATTAAGGCAGATTTAAGGTATTGTTACTCTAGGTAGTAAGGACTGTAGAATATGATGAAACAAAGGCATGAATCAAACATCACAATCAGTGATATAGCCAATAAGGCTTGGTGATTAACTGCATATGGGATGCAAAGGAAGAAGAAATAAAATGTTTTCTCAGATTAAGAAATCATATTTCAAGTAATATCGAAAGGGATTTCATATTTCCTTTTAATTTCTTTTTATTATAGATTCCTGTCAGTCACAGAAAACAAAAAATGGATCATTTAAACCGTTGGAGGACTCAGATATCACAATACTTCTATACTACCAACTAAGATTTATAACTATAAATTTCTGCATCATACAACTGCTGAAGAACTTAAAAGGCTATTCTTTGGTTAAGAAAAAAATAACCCTATGGTATCATATTACCAAATAAAGCTAAAAAGCTCAATTATTAAGTTATTAGATTTGCTGATACAAGCACACATGTGCAACTACTGTATCTTGACAGTTACCAGACCTCAAATTTAAATTGTTTCCCCTTGCGGGAAAGGTCATTATATTTGTAAATAACCACTGTATGTTGTCATTAAATACATTTTCCGCTGAGTGTCATTTAGCAGAATTTACTTGAAACAAGTTTTAGAAATTTCCAAGTCCTACCACTAAGTAGATTTGATATTATGGCAGCAACTTATAGACTTGTGGTTAGTACTGTGAATCACTACAGCAGCGTGGTAATAGATCGGCGTTTTGAGCAAGCTATACATTATTGCACTGGAACCTGCCACACCATCACACATGGACTTGACTGCATTGTAGTACATCATAGTGTTTGTGCAGACCTCTTGCACATCCCTGTGTCTCAGTTCAAAGATGCAGATCTGGACTCTATTTTTCTACCCCATGAAAATGGATTTTCCTTGGCAGAAGGTGACTATCCTCATCAGGCCCTCATAGGCATACCCAGGGTCAAGAAAGGATCTACATTTCAGAACACTTGTAACTTAAAGGACATTGCAGGAGAAGCAATCAGTTTTGCCAGTGGGAAAATAAAAGAATTTTCCCTTGAAAAACTCAAAAATTCTAACCATGCAGCTTATAAAAAGGGAAGAAAAGTTAAGTCTGACTCATTTAATAGGAGGTCAGTTGATTTTGACTTGCTCTGTGGCCATTACAACAATGATGGGAACTCCCCAACCTTTGGTTTACTCCGGAGTTCTTCAGTTGAGGAAAAGTCTTTGGCCCATAGAAACTCACTTGATACCAACCTGACTTCAATGTTTCTTCAAAATTTCTCTGAAGACCTGGTTACTCAGATTTTGGAAAAACATAAAATAGATCAATTTTCTTCTGGAACAGACATAAAGATGTGCTTGGACATCTTACTGAAATGCTCTGAGGACTTGAAAAAATGCACAGACATCATAAAACAATGCATCAAGAAAAAGTCAGGGACCAATATCAATGAAGGAAGTGGTAACGATGCAATATCTAGCTCTGAAACTGTTTATATGACAGTGATGACCAGGTTAGCATCATATCTGAAAAAGTTACCATTTGAATTCATGCAGTCTGGGAATAATGATGCTATTGACTTAACAGAACTTGTCAGTAATATGCCTAGTTTACAGCTGACTCCTTTCTCCCCAATATTTGGCACTGAACAACCCCCTAAGTATGAAGATGTGGTTCAGCTCTCAGCCTCTGACTCTGACTCTGCACAGTTTCAAACTACAGAAAAACAAGATGACAAGCACAACTCTAGGAAAACAGATACTGTAAAATCCATTCCAGACAACTCTACAAACTCCTTACCTAACTTAGCAATAGATGATACGAAAGCTCTAAAAAATATTCCACTTCAATCACAGTCATTAACCATGAAGACTTTAGAAAATGTTTCATCTGGTGACTTAGTGGAAACCCTTTATATTGAAGAAGAATTAGATGGAGAGAAAGTATCAGGTAAAGGACAAAGGACAGAGAATGGACCTAATCAGGAGTTGTTAAAAGTAAATGAAGAGAGAGCAGAATTTTCAGACTGTAGTACTCACCTTAAAAAATGTCCTATTTCAATGCAAAATGAAATTGGTAAGATATTTGAGAAGCCAGTTGTTAATCTACCTGAGGAAGTCCTTAAATCAAAAGTTCCTAAAGTTGAAGAGGGAGACCACAGAGATTTTATGAATCCTAATAGTCAGAAAGAGATAGATAAATTGTTGATGGATTTGGAATCTTTTTCACAGAAAATGGAGACCTCTCTAAGAGAACCACTTACCAAGAGTAAAATCTCTAACTCTCTAAATAGTAACAGTCCATTGACTAGTCAGATGCCTGTAGATGTTGAGCATAATTCTAAAGTCTCGTCACCTGTGGAAAAAGTCTCACCTTCCTGTCTAACAAGGATTATTGAAACTAATGGACACAAAATAGAGGAAGAAGATCGAGCACTCTTACTAAGAATTCTTGAAAGTATTGAAGACTTTGCTCAAGAACTAGTTGAATGCAAATCGGGCAGAGGGAGCCTATCACAAGAAAAGGAAATGATGCAAATTCTACAGGAAACTTTGACAGCTTCCTCCCAGACCAATTTATCAGTCTGTAGAAGTCCTGTTGGTGATAAACCTAAAGATACAACTTCAGTGGTTTTGATTCAGCAGACCCCAGAGGTAATCAAGGTAAGACAACTACCCTGTCCCCAGAATTTGAATCATGACAAGTCTCCAAAGAAATATTATAAAATTTGCAAAACTTACAACCAAAAACTATTTTTCTTAGCCATTTTGTGTTCTATTAAAGCTCCTGTCCTACACTAGAATGGTCTCACTCAGTTTAGTCATAAAGGCAAAGACTCCTAGAGTCAAATAGACTGATTTCAACTGCTCTCCCCACATCCACCATCTTCCTAGCCCTGTGACCAAAAGAAATTACTTAATGTTAATATCTATATAGTAAAAATATAGATCAAGATAACTTATGTGAAGCACAAGCAAGGTGATTTATACAAAGGAGATATTTAATACAGTTAGGCATCACTTAGCAACAACAGGGATACATTCTGAGAAATGTTTCATTTTATTGTTATACAAGTGTAATTATACAAATCTTGGTGTGGTATAGCCTAATACATTATTGGCTATATGGTTCAGCCTATTGGGACCACCATCCTATATACAGCTATCATTGACCACATGTCACTAAGTGACATGTGACTGTATTAGTTTTCATCTTCCCCAGTCAATAGTAAAGTGATCTTTACTGTGTGCCCTTGTCGACTGAAGTACACTGTGGGGGTACAAAAGAAGACAGGATTCTCAAAGAGCTTTAAATCTGGTTGAGGAGACAAAACTAACACACCCAAAACAGTAGATAAGCATGTAGGAATTACTGTCAAAGTATTGTTAGTTCAGTAGGCCTTTAAAGAACGTAAAGACTAGAGTTTTTCAAAAAAGCTTTGACTCTACCTTGTGTATGATAGTAGTGCTTTTGTTGAATAATCCCAGAAAGTAGGTATTTGCTCTGTGTGCGTGTGCATGTGTGTGTGTGTCTGTCCATGTCCAGCAGTATCATTTCTTTTTCATTTTACATGTCAAACATGGAATGACAAGAGGTTCTACTCCACCTCACTCAGGGACCACGTCTGATGGACACTTCATGTTCCTGCCCCTTTTCCCCATCTAGAATACGTGGCTTGAGTTCACTAAAGTAGAAAAAGAAAGGCATGGTGCTTTTAACTGCCTTGTCCCATACATGACACACTTCCCTTCTGCTCCAGTGATTCCAACTTAAATGCTAAGAAACATAGGAAGTACATAAAACACTTGGTGAGCACATCTCTCCCGCTAGAATGCAGTGTGCATGTCAACATGAGTCAATTCAGATGTAGAGCCAAATCAGTAAGTCAAGTTGTAAAATAATGAGATGAATTACTTAGAGATATGTACAGTTGTACAAAAGTATGATGAAATACATGAATACACCAAATATAGTGTTGGAAGTGAGTAATATCTGGGGAATAAGAGAAGGGAATAAGAAAGAGGGCCTCTGTAGGCTTAGTTAATGGTCCGTTTTGTAATCTGGGTGGTAGAGCATGTGTTTTGTCATTTCATGTACCTTTTTGTATGTCTTAAGCATAGTTAAAAAAATTTTTAAACTGGTTGAATATTATACATGGCATATATATGATCATGTTAAAAAGCTAGGTATTATTTTAGCATTCTCATTTGAGCGGGAAGAAAAATAAATGTACATTGTGATGAGGTGAATACTTTTGCTTCATGTAGCTGTTGTTTTCCTGTGACAGTTTTAGTTACCAACAACACTAAAGTTTAAAACAGTACATATTTTAGGTTATTAAATGATAATTTGAGTCTAAGTTGCCTCAAACATCACTGAGCACTTCTGTGAATTCTGTATGTCTTCTCATTCATTGATTCATCACAGAATGATTTTTTTTTAGGATAATTTTAAGTCAACCCTTTTTAAACCTTTCAGACAGTTGAAAAATTATTCAGATGTTCGAAACATTTTGGTTAAAAGATTAACATAATTGGGTCCTCCCTGGTGGCGCAAGGGGTTAAATACAGAACTGTGAAGCTATCCGCAGCCTCTGCAGCACTAGTTGGATCCCTGGCCAGCCAGGGAGCTACCCACATGGCGCAGCAGACCCCTTCTGTCTTGCCCACTGCTCCCCTCAGCAGTGTATTTCAGTCAGTCTGCCTGTTCTGTTCCCCTCTGCCTCTAGTGAATCCCCTCACCCCCCACACCTCTGGCCTGTACCCCAGTTCTTATATGCATAAATAAATAAACCTTTTAAAAAAAGTTTAACATAATTGAAACATATAGGAAGTGGTTTTGATGACTATCCCTGAGAAGAAAGATTTACTTGTCAGGATTATGTCATTAATATTTTAATGTATATTTTAAAATAATTTCTCAAGAGTAATCAGTATTTATTTTCCAGCAATAAATGAAGTTCATACCTGTATCAGGAGGACTAAAATAAAAAATACCAGAATGATGTTTAGAAATTAAAAGGTTAATAGTCTCCCTAGGTCAGGGGTTCGCAGCCTGTGGTCCATGGGCTGTATCTGGTCTCCTGCCTGTGTGTGTAAGGAGTTTTACTGGAATATGGCCATACCCATTCATTTATATATGGTCTAAGTGTGCTTTTGTGCCCCACCTACGAAGTTGAGTAGTTATAACAGAGACATTAAAGCTTGAAATACTTACTATCTCTGACCATTTACAGAAGAATTTGCTGACTCCTAGTCTAGATTATTGTTTTATGGTCAGTCAGCAAAACAGACTTTATATATTGTTCAGTGTGATATTTTGGAACTTGGAAACATTTAAATACCAATAGCAAAAACTGCCAAAAGTTGGGGACAGTCAAACTGTGTACTACTGGAAATAGACAAATAATCCCAGAATTTCAAAATACTTCATCATGAGTACAGATCTGACCTTCATAGCTTTTTCTCCCCTTTCCTGTCCACTTACAACCTACCTCTGTCTTTCGACTTAAAACAGTTTCCTTTTCATCTCATGTTTTAGTCCCTATTTTTTTTTCCTTTGCACTTGAACATATTCACTTTGTTGAGTTATCTTTACCATTGGTTTGTAAATGAATGGTCAGTACATGTTTCTTCATACAGCCTCTAAGTGACAGAAAATAGCCCTCTAGGTTCTAGAATAGCTGAGATGTGTAGATGAACCTGAAAGTGAGTTAGAAAAAAATAAGAGAACAGTTTATGGGAGAGACAAAGAGGGATATGTCTCAAAGAGTTCAGTAATTACAACCAAGTGAGTCACTGAGGAGGACATATTTGACATTGGAAGATAACATTTTTAAAAACAGAAACTCTACTGCTTTTGTAACTCACATAATAAATATCTTAGTTCTATGTTTTATTACCACCAATAACTGGTGTTATAGGTAATTTTTGATCTGTTTTTAGCCTTATGAGATAATAGCCTATTAGTTGTTCACAGGTTAAAATAATAAACACTGGGCCTCCCTGGGTGGCGCAACCTTTGAGCGCTGGGTTGCAAGGCTGCCTGCAGCCTCTTGCAGCGCCAGTTCGATCCCCAGCCACCGGCGAGGGTCCCACATGGTGCGTAGGCCTCTCTTGCCGCCTGCTCCCCTCAGCAGTGTACTTCGTCGGTCTGCCTGTTCTGCTCCCCGCTCTGGCTCTGGTGAATTCTCTCACCCTCCCACACTTCTGACTGTACCCAGTGCTTGTATAAATAAATAAATAATTTTTTTAAAAAATAAATAAAAAATAAAATAATAAACCCTGCTCTCCCTTTAAAGCTGTTTATTTTTATTTAATTTTAGGAAAGCAAAGGTAGGGGAAAGTTACATTACTTCAATGAAAGAGCAAAGGGCAGGAAGGAGTCTTCCATGAAAGTAGAAAATTTTAAGGTTGAGGCCTTGCTCATGGCCTAGGGGTTAAATCTCAGTACTATCAGATACACTGTGGCCTGAGTTCCATCTCTGGCCAGGGAGCTAACCCATGTATGGTGGGCACTGCAGACTGCACCTATCTCACCTGCTGCTCCCCTTAGCAGTGTATTTCAGTAGATCTGCTTGTTTTGCTCCCCACTCTGTCTCTGGTGGATCCTCTCACTCCCTGCACCTCTGGACTATACCCCAGTTCCACACAAAAATAAATAAATAAAATCTTTTTAAAAAAATTTAAAGTATGGGCCTCCCTGGTGGTGCAAATTTCAGTACAGCTGTTGTTTTGGTTTTTGTTTGGATTCCCAAGAAGGTCAGAGAAATCTCTGAAGATCTGCAATATTTGCACTGTTACTCGAACTCCCTTTCTTCTGAGCCTGATCAGAGGAAATAAAGATCCTTTCTAGGATAATAATCTACCATTTGGTTTTCACAAACCTTAGATATTGTGTAATTGTGTTGTATATTTAAGTGCAGAGTAATTATGAAAGTTTTTATAACAAAGCATTCTTTAAGGAAATGTATTATTAACTTCTTAGGACACATTTAAACAGCATTTTTCTCTTTCTTAGTTTTTATCTATGTCTTCATTAAGATTAACCAGTCATAGTTCCCTCAGTGGAGGGAAATGTTTTTTCTCAATAGCTTTATAGGTGCTGATGATTTCTTGGGTTTGGTGCTGGGAATGTTTAAATAGAAATCAAGACATTTTGCAATAGGAAAACATTCTTCCTTCTAACTCACTTATCACCAGGTAGATTAATAAAAGTTAAGGGATCTGGCCAGTGACAAATATGAATTTGCAGAATGAGTTCAATTCATATTTTCCCCTCTACCTGTAATATCCTCTGAGGTCAGGTCCCCTTACATCACCATTTTTTCTCAGTTATGTCCCCACCTGTTTTCAACATGGTAGAGATGTAAATACTGGTGTAGAAAAATAGTTATGATAAAATAGATGATTAAAAATGTAAAAAAAAAAAAGCAAATATATGTAGCAAAACATACATACTAAAGTGATCCCTTCTATTAATATTTGTGTGGGATAAATGAAAAATCTGGGATAAATCTGGGATAAATGACTCCAAATTATGGAAGTCAAACGTGATTCTCAGTATCCAAGTCTCCTGATAACTCTAGCCCACCAGCCTCCAAACTACCCTTGACCAAAGTGAAAAGGAACTCCCAGAACTCTACTAGCTCATGTTAAACCTC